ACAACGTGCATGTTATGCGCTCAATTTCGTTGACGCCAACTCAAGAGGGAACGTCACAGATGCATGGATATATAAATTTTAATTTTCTCTGCGAGAGTTTAAATTGTATTCAGTTTGATTCTTCCTGTAAAAGTTTCCCTCCCCCAAGACATTGTTGTTAAATCGAATTAGGGTCGGTACGGCACCGAGGTCTTAAATTCGGCTCCTATTTTTTTTTCTTGTTTTTTTTTCCATTTGTGTCGAGCCGCGCGCGTAGTCGAAGATCGAAGGGCCTGCGGAGGAGACGACAACTTCCGGTAAATAAGTGTACTTCCGGCAAGCATCGGCCAAAGCGAAACGGAACCCGAAGCTGTCCTTGCACAAAATCCGTCAGAATTGTTGATTTAAAACCAGAAGATGTGATAATTTTGACATACCTGTTTAGCTGGATAACTATTCTCGAGTATATGTTGATATAATGCACAATACTTCGTATGCATAGCATGGGAATACCGCGGCCAACTTTCACTTGTTATCTATTATAATTACTGACCCGAATCAAAAGTAATTATTTTCGGCTGGAAGACTACTGTACGTTGCTGCTTGTCGGAACCGTATGACAATGAACCTATCCAACGTTACACTAGACATTTGTGAGGAAATGCATATAGACATAACCATAGGCACTGTAGTGCATTGTGATAGAACAGATTTCAGTTTAATTAATCGCCCTAAATTAAAATCTCCACAAGCGGAGGTCAATTATAGTGTTCTAGTTTACATATCATTAATGATAAGGTTTACTCAAATAGCGTATTGGATAAACACGGGAATAGAACTTATGGTGTATTCTGCACATGCGTATATCTAGGATAAAATCCCACAAGCGCAAACGAAACTATTTCTCTATAAAATTGAACTGAAAAGACTCATAGCGACCGTTTCCACCAGTGCTTCAGGCACCCGACGACACCCTATGGGGGGCCTTTAGCACTGTCACCTTCTCATCTTGGGATGTTCACGTTATCGCGTGTACATGTCAGGGTGACGAAGATGCATTATTGCTAATAATGTCTGTGTGCACTGATGCACGCTGCATTATTTTTAATAATGTTGTGTGCTATTTTAACGCGTACATAGAATATGACGCATATAAACATTTACCCCTGAGCCTATACAACTAAAAAGGCCGCTCCCGTTTTTCAGTAGAACGTTAAATGAAAACTACTCGACATTCGCTGATATAATGCAGAGAGAGAACAATAGGTTTGATGAGGGCCAGTAATTATTATCAATAAAATATTAAAACGGAGCTTTGATTAACTGATTCACCATTTATACTAGTGAACTATTATCGTGATTTACACAATTTATGGATATTTACCAGACGATCCCCTATCCACCGACCCGAGGCTAACGCCGAGTCGGTGTCTTGTTCTTACAAGTCTACTGCGTGAGCATGTTTTTTGTTTAAAAAATACAGCTGGTTCCAGCTGTCAACTGTATGATTGCGTGCATACGAGCTTATATATTAAAATAATGCGTATTTCGCGAGACGAGTATATAGCTTGTTAGCACGAATTCAGTATTTATTAATCTATCTTATGTTATATCAAATATAATATGTAATTTATCAAATGTAATTTATCACAAGAATTTGCCTTACGGCAGTGCACGTGTAGATCAGATAAATTACGAGAGAAATATACGTCGAATGAGTTAGAATGCACATCATATGATCATTAATAGGAGTAATATTAAAATACTATAACCTATTTAATGAGTCATTCATATATTTACTGAAGTGTATAGTAACGTTTGTAACTATGAAAATGCTTTTGGAAAAGTTCACAAGAGCTGCCGTGTACACTTTGAATAATATAAAGATATCGCAGGGAATATTGCAGCGAATTAAAACAATCTACCTTTTAGATAAAACAAGTCGATCTTATGAGGTATCGCGTAGTCTAAATTGACTTTTGAGTGGGGCACCAAAAAAAAGAGGAAATAAATATAATGATGACATCATAGCCCAGCTGTATAAGGGCCCACTATACCAGAACTTTATAATATCATATTTCATATATTGAATATTTCAGTTTCGTTTCATTTAAACTTTATTTAACGAGGCTAACACATCATAATGAGAAGAACGGTTTACAACAAGCTCCTGAGTTAAGTTTACAACAAGCTCCTGTGGTCATGCATTGGCGAGTTAGTTTTTGAAAATATAATTTGTGCTGTTGTAAAGATGGCACCCGTTTTCAGCTTTCAATTGTTTAAGATTTTGTAATATACTGTATAACATACTATAATTACTGCTGGTCCAAAACTAAATTATGACTGGCTGCATTTTCTTTCTTTATTATTCAGTCAATGCCGGGCACATGTTGACGAGGAGAGGGGAAAATCAAAAGAGAAACCTGCTGTTTTATTTTACGTCCTGACAGGGAATAACATCCCATGCAACGTGTCAAAATTTTATCAACTGGGTCGTCTGTTTTCATGTTTGTGTTCAATTACTTTAACGTCTAGTTGTACTAAACGGTTGTTAGCGAGCTGCATGTGTTTATGCGGAATGACGAGACCTGAGACGAATATTGCTCTGACTAGCTATATTTTATAGGTATTGTTTAAAACAGATCAAATGTATAGTTTAACGACTTAACGGAAAATACGGAGAATTCATTAATTTATTTAATTAATTTTCAATATTTTCAAAAAAAAAGTTTAAAAAAAATTTTAAAAAGTTTAAAAAAGTTTAAAAAAGCAAAAAAAGTTTAATTAAAAGGTTAGTTTTAAAAAAGTTTAAAAAAGTTAAATTAGGGCTAGAGGTTAGGGATTAGGGTTGGGATTAGGGTTAGAATTAGTGTTGGGGGTCAGGTGCCGCGAATTTATCATTTATCATTAGTATATATTATAGAGTCAAGTAGCATACAGTTTTCGTGGTTAAATTAATTCGCATTTAAAATATGAACAAATATCGCTTGTGTTAGGCAATCCCATGCATGCACCTGCGTGTGTTGCGTTCAAGATACAGCAATTTGAAGATTATCTATATAGATGAATTTGAAGCTATCTTTTAAAGAAATAATTTACTTCAACACCGCAGTATAACAGTCGCGTATCTGCGGTCCAGAGTACAATTTGCTGAGCTACATATTCCACAATATTTCCAGCTATTTCAGAACCGTCCTCAGAGATACGAAAAATTAGTAGAGCGGCGATCTAGATACCCGAAGATGCGAGTTCAAATCCCGTTCGAGCCAACGAATTTTTCGTTGATCGATTGCAGTGTCAGAATAATATGAAACTATAGTATTTCCAGCTATGCATGCCAAGTTTAGATATTCATGCAGCGTGAGCTAAAAGCCGCTTCCGAACGTGCAATTTCCAACACTTAAGACGAAATATTTCTTTGAATGCGTTTAAAATAAGAAATTGCATAAAACCAAAAGTTTTATCCTACCTTTATTTGATTGTCGTGTTCCCTTTTGAGAGGATTTTTTCTTTTAGAGAAAATGTTATTATACACACTGGATAACCAGCTGCACTCTACTGAATTACGTATAACAAAACCCTTATGCTCATATTTGCACTTATATGAACGTTTTTGGCACTTCAGATGGGAAAGTATTAGATGAATAGTGACAGAAATTTCTGACATATAGTTTTGACAACACACATATACACACTCTACAAATAAATTCAAGTGCTGGACGCCAAGTTTAGCTTGTCCTTTTAATTTATTCAAGTAACTTAGCTGAAATATATGTTCACCATGCATGATTTTAAACGGTTGTCTTATCAGCCCCTCAGGAGTGAAAAACAAATATATATATATATATATATATATCGAAAAAGGCGATATTACCCACGAGCATAGGCATAAAATTATAACTCTGCAATAACTTCATCTTTATTCATATATAATTCAATAAAACACGTCAGTAAAACCCTTTTGTTTCCCTGACGACCTCGCAGGCCAGGGGCGCACGCGCAGATAATAGACAGATCAGGACGCTTATATAGAGGGCGGTGAAACGGCTATAGGCGCGCCGATCGATGTGTGATGCAATGAATTGGTAACGAGTTTGTTGTGGTTACTATGGCGACGTTGTCTTATATGGCAAGGATAAATATGGCGGGAAAACTGAGCTGGAAGTTTTGACTGTTTTGTAGTCAAGTTTTGATGAAGAAATAGATATTGGGGGTAAAATTCCGATGTTATACGATAATTTAGTAGATTCTGCTATTGTATTTTCAGGTAATACTGCCAATATTTTAGAGTTTTTGCTCAAAACGCTTGCGAAAGCTTACGAACGGTTGCTTTCGCAAGAAGCATGACGTGAAAGGTTTTTAAAACTCTTCGGATGTACACGTATCGTTCACGTTCGATAGAATACAATTCACAATTAATTTTAGCCACTAGTTGATCAGTTTTCAGTTGAAAATCAAGAAATGCTCAACTTGAATTTGTATATTTTTAACGAATCCTTACGAGAAGTTGTCTTGGCCAGTCGGTCAAAAAAAATCAAAGTTGGGACGAAACTAGCCTACGGTGTAGACCCCAGCAGAAACACGTTTCGTGAGGGGTCTACGAATAAACGAAGAAAAGCTTGCCCGCTACGTCATATCCGTTTTACGTTTTGGGTAAATTAACTTCAATACACCGATTCAGGAAAAAATTAATTGTGCACGGAAACGAGGCTTAATAGCCCTTGGCCACCTTGGCACAATTTAATATCCAAAATGGCGGCAGAAAATATTTGTGCTGATGTGCTTCTGTTAATGACAAGGATATCGGAAAGTTAAATGTTAATCAACTGAAATTCTGGCTAAAGTGTCGTAGGGTGAAACAGGGCGGGAATAAAAAGGAGCTTTTTGGAAGGTAAGCGTACTGCGTTCACACGTGATGATGATCGCTATGATTAGTATGATTGGGCAATGTTTGGTCGCAGTTCGCACAATACATTTTGCATGACTAGTACTCGCTTTTTAGGGTGTGCAATCTCAATGCTATGCCTGAAGTGAGGGAGAAGGTATTTGACCCTGATCCAAACAAAGCATTCACTAAGGCTAAGCTGGCCAAACTCAGGGAAAACGGCATAAATTGTTCAAATGCGGAAGTGGAAAACGATGCTTCTGCCAGTTTGGGGAAGTTTCCTTCGGATGACAGTGCTTTCAACAAAGACTTCTCCATACTACCAGTATTTGTTCCAACAGATACCCTAGATCATACTCAAAAGTGCAGGAAGTCAACCAAAAAATCTGTTGATGGTGACGCTATTGCTGAGATGTCAAGTTCGAAAGGACTTCGAATGGTTTCATTTGTGCACGATATGGAAGTTAGCAGAGCTGGCGAAGGAGATGTTGTTTATCTTAGAGCTTTATGTTGGGCATCTTATAGAAAATGTGTCAAGTACAAAGTTCGAATGATTGTAAACCCACGAGGAAGTCCAAAAATCGTAGCAGCAGAGTGTGACAAAATTTGTCCTGCTGGACGAAGTGGATGTTGTTGCCATGTGATGGCTGTAATCTGGAAGTTAGATGAAATGTCCAGAAATAGCAAATTGCAAAAGCCTACACAGGATGATCGTGCATGTACTTCCAAACCTAGGAAGTGGGGTATCCCTGGTAGGAGAGAAGTAGAGCATGAAGCTGTGATGGCTTCTAAGCTTGTCAAGCCAAGACATATTTTAGATACACCTGGCAGAAAGAGGAGGGGTGTATTCCCTACCTTATTTGATCCACGCCCCAGCAAATATAGAAAGCTATCTCCAGAATCAGTTGAGAAATTTAGAGATAATTTAAGTGCAACAAATCCAAGTATTCCTTTTGCTAAAATGACCCCTAATTCTAATGATATTATTCTTGTAGATTCTATAGTTGGTTTAATTGCAAAAGGTTCTGTACTTGACTTACAACTTAAGGATTTCAGTAACAAGACCAATGAGAGTAAACAGTCTGCTCAAGGAAAAAGCACATCTGTACTGCATCCTAAAACTTTAATGAACTCAAATGTGTCTTCCAACACATTCTCTAAAACACATGATACAAGTAAGAGTTTTGATACTGCAAAAAATACTCAGGAAATTTCACAGGGAAAATATCATATAATATCTCCACCAAAGCAACAACCACTTAGCCTAGATGAAATAAGTGAACGGTGTAAGAAAATTAAGTGTAAACTTTTTGTGTCAGAAAATGAAATAAAAAAAATAGAAAAAGAGACCCGGGGGCAATCTGATAATCCGAAGTGGTTTGCCTACAGATTTGGCCGAGTTACAGCTTCAAAATGCCACAGGGTGGCTTGTCCACATAAGTCTAGCACTTCACCTTCCAAAATTGTAAAAGAGGTTTTAAACTACAACCCTAGTGTCCAAACAAATGCTATGAGGGATGGAATTAAAAAGAAAAACTAGCAGTTACTGATTATGTAAAAAAAATGCAACAAGAAGGTCACTGTGTGACCTTAAAGTTGAAGATTGTGGTTTTTTTGTATCAAAACATCATGGGTTTATAGGTGCTTCTCCTGATGGTCTTGTTACTGATCCCAGTGTTGAGAATCCCCTGGGAATAATAGAGGTGAAGAATATCATTGTTAAAGACAGTGAAGATTTATCATTAGCTTTAGTAAGAAAATCAATATGTAAAAAAGATGGGATGGTTAATAAGAGGCATATGTATTATTACCAAATGCAACAGCAGTTATATGTTGTAAACAGAACATGGTGTGATTTTGTGGTCAGAGCAAGTAATGGAGAACTTTATTGCAAAAGGGTTCCATATGATCCAAAATGGTGGATTGAAAAGTTTGCTAATCTTGAATTATTCTATGATTCATACATTTTGCCAGAATTGGCCTATCCTAGACTGAGGGATGGGCTTGACCGATATGATTTTTCTCAATAAAAGGAAACAAGTGTTGTGTTCAAGGTTACATTGTTTAATTACAGTAAGTACAGTAGATTAACATTGTTGTATATATACTGTATTATTAATTAATTAACATAACATAATATTATTAACATAACAATAAATGTAACAATTTAATAGCTTTGTTCAATAATTAATAAGATGAATTTGAATTTGGTTCATGTTTAATTTAGCATGTAAGGGCAGGTTTTTGCCAGTTTACTAGCAGACAACATACAGTCCAAATCTGATTAACTACACCATTCATGCTTAAAGGTAGTACTTGGTCAAAAATGTGCCATCCCTTTACCCGCCTAATTGCACGCTCTATGTGTATTCTAACATTAGCAATTCTCATTGTCTCAAAGCAATCCTCTTTTGAAAACTGATCCATTTTGGACTGCCTCTTTGGTGGGATGAACAGTCTCACTTGCTTGGTTGCTAAAATATCCTGTATCTCAAAGCCACGATCTGCCATAATTACATCAGGGTGTTCTAACAGATCAATAAAGTGACTTTTCTCCACAATTTCTCTGTCAGATATGCTACCTCCATACAGGTTGCTTACAAATGTAACCCAAACATTAGGAGATATGCCTACCAATCCCTTATAAGTATTGTGTGCTTTGTACTCAGAGTAAAATTCACTTTGCTTCTGAAGATCTTGGGGTTTTTCACACTTAACCTCTGTGCAGTCTATGATGCACCTTACATTTTCAAATCGCCCTCTAAAGGCTTCAGGTAGGTGTAACTTAATTACTTCGCTTGAAGTCCATACTGGCAAGCTCCCAAGCATATACATGTAGTTACTCCAAGTTATATAATTATGTCTGATACTGTTGGCACAGAGATATTAAACCTGAAAGCCAAGTCACGCTCTAACAGACCCACTCTGAGTCGAGTTAGGAAAAGCCAAAACTCATCTATAGGCTGAAGACTGCGTTGAGCACCTACACTACTACCAGGAAACTTTTTTTTAGTTAAATTAAGGTATGGAAATGCATTGTTAAAATTAACATCAGTGGAATTCTTAAGATAACTGTAGTATGTTAATCTAGAACTATTAGGTTCTATGTATTTCCAGAATTCTATCAGCGTTTGATAGTCAGGAAATCCTGTGTAAAAGTTTATGTCCTCATTACTACCTGAGAATCTTTCCAGACCAAACGTAAAAATATATTCTTTCTCCTTGGCTCTAGTAAGTTCTGCTTTCAGCTGCTCTGCTTCTTCTTTCTTTTCATTGATAAATTCTTCGAGTGTTCGAGGGCCAAAAACAACCATATTTCTGCCAGATGAATAAGATGATATTGATGAACCTGCAAGTTGCTGCTCGTCAGGTCCATGCTCGGTTTGTTGTTCAGATTTGGATTTGGCAATCATTTCGTTTCGCAATTTTAAACGTTCGCCTCTGGGGTCACTAGTTACTGGTGCCCATTTAAACACTGAAGGGATTGCTCCTCTCTTTAAATCTCGCCTATGCCCCGTTAAACTCTGTTTGAAATCCGATGGCAAAAAATGCGCAGAACAACAAAACTTATTCGCAATGTTTTTGAAAGTAGCGTCTCCTCTTCGCATTTTGACTTCCCACTTCTTTTTTAAGTAATCATCCTTTGGAAACTCATGAAAAGACAAATCAGGACGATTGTCACTTCGAAAATTACAATTGGCAGCTGCACAACATTTATGTCCCATTTTTTTCTTCTTCGCTGCAATTTTTCCCCCAGCTGCGGCTGCTAGTTCATCCGCCATCTTGGATAT